TCCTTATATTCCCGCATTAAAGCTCTCTGAATTCATCTAAATGCTCTTTATTTGACTTAATGACCCTGCACCTGTTACTGTTTTGATTCTCTGTTTAAAATTTCTAACAAAACCACCTGAAAGCAGCATCAAACAGGAAGACGAGTATCAGAATGATTTCTTGGTGCACACAGACAGAAACAAATAGACACAGTTTTGCTCCATCTGACTGTCAAATATGACTTATGAGTATTGCTCCTAGTGTTGCTCCACTGACAGTACTGTCAGTCACACCTCAATTATTCCTGAAGTTGATTTCTCCAGCATGTAGCCTCCACAGGACCAATCCGATATCCTGTAGAGAACATTCATTCCTACAAATTGCCATTAGAGTGGATGTGGAACGGAGAAACATGTTTGAGGGGGGCTGTGGATTGTAAAGTGAAAGGAAAGACATTGGTCAGCAGAAAGAGATTATTTTTCATTCTTTAAAGCTGCTTTCTAAAGATGCTCCCTATGTGGACGGGCTCGAATAAGTGCAGGAATTTGATAACAGAATATGCTGCTTTCTCAGGCAAAGATTGTATCCTACTACCGGTAGATGCTTTTCTTTTTGTATGCAGAACTACTTCCATCTCTTGGCAGTCCCCGGTAGGGCGTCCATGCTGCTTATTTAAAAGACAAGTGGATACTATCAATGCTTTGTGATGATTTCATTCTATTTTGTTTAACCTCTTAACATCCACCTCATTTTGAGAAATCCTCGCCTATTCTGCATACCCAAATGGAAAAGCAAGTAACTTAGGAACTGTGAGCCAAAATTACATGTGCAATTCATTATTTGAAAGCTAACAGCCTCCAGTTTCCTAATATATAAATTTAAATTGGGTGATTAGAACACAGACCAACCTGTATCATTTTCAAACACGATTCAAAGTTGTTGTTTTTTATTCTCGGAAATTATAGGTCTTTTTTGAACAGCAGTAATAAAGACATTTTTGAGAAAAAGCAGGTTTTTATTGTATTATATTTGTTCTACATCATATCAGCCACAAATGCAGAAAAATCAGACCTCTAGCTACCGGTATAACAGTTCCAGAGCTGTGGAGTATACAACTTTTGGTGTCAGCTCGGAGCTGCGCGCTATGGCTCCACCTGCTGGTAAAAAATGTATGCATTCTGAGTTATTACCCCGATTTAAGGTCAGGTCGCCAGCGACCCGGTGGGTTTTAAGAGGTTCAGGACATTGATAATTCAAATAGTGAATTAAAGGTATAGAGGATGAGGTTTCATTTCCGGGTGGATCATCTAAATAAGTGGTCACCCTAATTGTCAATCTTTCTGGCGATATTATTTGCTCGTCCTGTTGGCCATCTTTTTCTGTGCATGCGCACTTTCAGGCGTATATCTGTGATTAGCTACAGTTTCAGCCAATCATTGAAGCTCGTCTTTCTCACAGCGGTTCTTTGACAATGGCGGAGAGTCGTAAGAGAAAAAGTGTCGACGAAGTTTATGAGAAGAAAAGAGGCATCAGAAGAGGCAGATGTATGCTGAAATGCTTTGCGCTGAGAGCTTGTATAAGCTATGAGAACAGCAACCTTTAAACAGAGTGTGCACAAGGAGAAATGGGCTCTCGCATGCCCTGTATCCGCTCTCTCAGGAATGGGTACAGGGTTGTACATGTGCATTTTTTGTTTAAAGTGGGAAGGGCGGGTCCTTTAAAAAATATGCGAATATCCTCCACTAGCTGAGAACATACCATACCTGGCTTCTAATGTTTATGAACTACTATAGTAGAACGTTGAAAGCATTTTAAACTTGTCCACAACAACCTCTTATTCTAAATCATGTATTTTTCAAATATCAGTGTTTCTTGTCTAAATGCCATCTATATGAACCATCTAAATTTAAAACAGCTACATACTGTATGTTACTGGCTCTGTAGCTTTGCATTGGTCTCATGTTTTCCAAAGTTTTCCACCGACTGATGAAGACCTTGTGACATCTTCTCCTCTGAAATATGCAGTAAGAGAGACCAGACCAAACTACTTGAACAAGCCTTAATGTTCCTCCAGTTATGTCTGAGCAGACCGATCACCATTTAGATGTTTGGTTTCAGTTTAGTTTTTGTTTTTGACACCTGTGAGCTGAATGTCCCTGGGACTAATGGACAGACTAAAGTACCAGAACCATGAAGCTGAAACACCAAGTGGTTCTCATTTGTGACTTATAAAAGATGGCTTTAAAGTCTCCCTCCTTTATTCTCCTTCTCCATTCTCTGATTATTACTTTTAATGCCCTGTCAAACCTTGCCGACAGGTTAGACAGTGTGTGCCTGACGTCCCAGAATCTCCTAAAACGCTGGCATACTCTGAACTTTCTATGTATTTTTTCGATTTTTTTGGCGTATGCATAGCATATTCATAATGAGTCCAGAGCGTATGTCCAACAACAACCTAACTTATGCATAACGTACAGCAGCGTAATACCAATGAAATGTCAAAAGCCAGTGTCCTGAGGGGGGCAGCAATTTGCCCGAAGGCGCTATCCTTCATAGAAAGATTTATTTGATCGCGGTATTAACCTAGCTGCTGTTTACCACCCGCCAAAACAAAGAATGCGGGGAGGATCCATCACACTCATCTTCTCGCTCACCTTATGATGGGGCTAAAGTCTGGAGGAGTACAGACAGTTTCCTCTTGCTAACCCCCCTTTTACACCAACATGCTGCCAATACGCCATTATACAGTAGCTGTAAGTTAGAAACACCTTCAGTCGTCGTCTGGAACACATCAAATACGTTTATACGCGTTGGAGATAAGTTCTTGATAAGTTATGCGTAAGTTATGCACAAGTTACTGATAGGTTTTGGATAAGATAGAAACCTCGATTAATAAGTAATGTATGTCAACAATTAAATAACTTACCTGTAACTTATGTCCCACGTGTGGCATACGTTGGTATACGTCAGGACGTATACGTCAGGACGTATTTGCCGTATGTCGTGTGCCAGCGTGTTTCATCATGCTTTAGCGTACTTCAGCTCATAACGTACCCATAACTTATCCAACGTATGCCAGCATTTTTGCAAGATTTCCGTACATCAGGCAAACACTGGCTAAATCGTCAAGGTTTGACAGGGGCATTAGGTATTGAATGCGCAGTTTTGCATGGTTAAAGTTCATCACCAGTGCATGGAGGCTTCAGTCCTCGATGTGGCCTTTATGAGTTGAGCCCTGGCCCGTTGACCTTTGTCGCATGTCTTTCCCCATCTTTTTAAACCCTGTTTCCTGTCGGCTGACATTTAAATGAAGGCCCAGTGCCAAAAAATCTTTAAAAAGAAAAACTAAGCTCTAGACTTTCTTTCTTTAAACTTAAACCATGAACTTGGCCTAAAAATTCAAACTAGCTTATCTTAAGGGTCCCACCCCCCCTTTGTTCTTTGCTGCACTGCATCCATCTTCATAGCTCTTCCCCCACACTGGAGCCTGCTGTGAACACACAGGCTGTTTAGCAGGGCTAACAATGACGGCATATTAACACCTATGGCACAAAAAGAGGAAAGATCAGCATTGTGCTTTACAGCGATGCACAGCTGCAGCTCACCAGCAGCCTTTAGCTTGAACGGGAGGGGTGTGAGCAGTTCAGACAGCAGTGTGATTGACACTGATAAGACATTCCTCCTGGCTCTAATAGGTTGTTTCTGACCAGGAGCCATGTTTTTCTGCTATAGCAGTAGGACCGCTGGAAGGAGGCAGGAGCTTAATTTTTTCCTTTTTTATCACAGATCATTAGTCTCATATTCTACTGTCAGAACACAGGGACAGTTGAAACATTTACAAAATGATGTTTCTTTGAACTTGTGATAAAGAGCTGTCATTACAAAGTGCAATAATTCACCCCTATTTTTTTAAATGATTCATTAAGGTAAAATAGAACATAACTTTTTAACCCTACATATTACAATAGATTTCGATAGATTTCCACTGCATAGCTTTCTATAAAGATTTATGTCAGGGCTGTGGGAATTGGGCTGACAGGGATCTATTATAGGCTTTGTCATTTTCATTTCCTCAAACAGAGTCAGAGAATTACATGCTGAGAGAATATAAAAAGGGGGATTTGGAGTGAAGCTACAGGAGTTGTTTTTATTTAAAACTAGAAAAAAGATTTATTTCTGTGCGAGAAATGCAGAATGAATCGAGGATTTTTCTTCAAGTCAGTTCATCTTATTTATATCATAACCCCATTTAACAACCAATGTTATCTCAAGGATTTTTACATGACAGAAAGATATATATTTTTTGCATTAAATTAATTCTAGAAGTTTGATCGATCTATTTTTATTTTTTTTATTTGCAGAGTAAATTGTGCACACATAGCAGCATATCAGACTTTATCTGGCTGTGCACATGCATGCTTTACATGTCCATTTCAGATTTGTCACCGCAGCATTTGTGAAGTTGTGCTCTCTGTTCGCTCCCAAGATTTTACTATGCACTAATGCTTGTGCAGCAATAGCCTTCTGCAAGGTTACAGATACCCTGCAGAAGGCGGCTAGTGCCTTAGAATAAGCCTTGCAGTGAGAGGCATCTAATCAGGAGAACATGCTACATGTCGACTAATCCTCAACAGATGCAGCATCAAAGGCTGTCAGGATTGCGCACGATTATCGGTGGTTACCATAAGCATTTTTGAATAGAGTGAAATGATAGAAGACTTTCCGTTATACTTCATTTTAAAGGACTGAGCCATAAGGATCCTTGCCTCATCCCTTCCTTTTTTTCAATCCAAGTAATAATCTGCACCTCGAGGATATCCTCTTTAGATGAATTTTGATGCTAAAGCCATGGTTTTATTCTATAAAGTGTTTGACCTGAGGCTCTGCATCTGATCCATGCTTGTTTGTATGCATTTCTTCTTGGAACCATTCTGAGCTCCTTTCAGGTTGTTGTGGATTTTTTTAACTGTAGATAAGAGCAAACTAAAGAGGAGCATTGGATTTTTTTTTTCCCCCTCAGGGGTTCTGTGGAACCTTTCTTCCTGCGACGCTGTCAAAATGACAATCATCCGGGACGCCTTATCCACTCTGACCAACACTGTGATTATCCCTCACTCCGGATGGAGCAGCTCAACCTTCGATGATGACCACAAGCTGAAGTTTCACTCCTCCCTGGTGCTAAGGAACACTACAGGTTGCCTTAGGTAAACCACCTGATGAGCACACTGGGCACTAGCACCCCCCTGTGGGCTTTCAGTGCTATTACAATCAGTATGTTGCAGACAAAGGTACACTTTTCTTCCTTCCACTCTTGCTTTATTTTTTCCAGTCAATATTTCTTTCTCTTGTACATCTACCCCTCCTCACATGTTCTTTATTCCTTTCTTTCTTCATAGTCACCTTCCTTCTTGCCTTTAACTCTCCTTCCTGCTCATCATTTCTCTTAAGTATTTCCTCGTCTTTTCTATCTTTATGTTGTATTTCATTTTTTTCTCTCTGTGTCTTTATATTCTTTCTTCAGTTCTTTTTAATTTACTCTGGTTTCCTTCCTTTATTGTGTATTTTCTTCTTCCCTCATCTTATCTTTTGGTCCCTCCTTACCTTGCATCTTGCAGCCCATCATATGTCTTTTCTCCTTTTTTTTGCTTTAGGTTTTTTTTTTTTCTGTGCTTACTTTTGCTTTTCCTTCCTTTATCTTTCCTTTGATGCATCTTCTTTGCTTCTTTTATTGTGTCTCCTCTTCCTTGCATCTCTTCTTTCATCCATTCATTATTATCTGTACAGGTTCTGCTAGTTTCACACTTAAAAGCTGCCTCCTACAGAATCATCTGCCATTAGTTCATGGTGGACTTTGATAGTTTAGTCAAATAAGCCTGACTTCCAGAGAGCTCTAGAAAGAAGATTCTGGAAATGTCTGGAATTTCTATACAAAGACTTTTAGAGTTAGAGATTACAAAAGGTTTTTTATTTTTCCTGCCCTATTTTGCTTTAAGCTGTAATTAGCGGTACTCACTTGAACTGTGTGTATGTTTCTGCATTATGTCAACATTCAAAGGTATAGTTAAAAACTCTTTATTTACTCAGAAAAGAGCCATAATTACTTGAGTCAGGCCATACAAACACTCCTCATACATTAAAGATGGTGACTGGGAACAAGCCCACATTACCATTTCAAGTAGGAGACACACACACAGCCCTCCTGTTGGGTGTTTGTTTACTGGGTAAAGCCCCAAATTAAATGCTTAATGTGTGTGTGTGTGTGTGTGCGTTCTCATGTGTTCATGTTTTTTTCAAAGGAACCTGAGTTCAGCTGGTGAGGAGGCCAGAAAACAGATGCGTACCTGTGATGGCCTGGTTGACTCACTGCTCTACGTCATCAAAACCTGTGTAAACACTTCTGACTTCGACAGCAAGGTAACCCACACATATCCTGCTGCCCTCCCCCTGTCCACACACACACACACACACATACACAGGCCTAGAGGAGAACACTTAGCCAGTCGATAAGAATCTCTGGAGAAAATACCACAGTTATCCTCTTTGGATCATTTTATTGCCTGTGTCAAAATGACCCTAAGAGCAGTTAGCAGAAACTGGTTCATGTGCTTTTGTCACCCAAAGCACAGCCAGAATGAACATAATGGAGAACCTTCAGCATCAGATGTTAATCACACACTAAATTAACATTTATTTAATGGCTGCTGTGGAAAACGGAGAACATCTCCCACACATGTACGACATTTAACTGGATCATCTGAAACGTAGAGATTGTTTTTCCCTGTAGGAAAGACACTTTGTCCAACAGATAATATTTGCAGAGGTTGGTTAAGGCTAAGCAATGGAACATGATGTGGAAATAATTTAAAAACAAGGCATTTGATATAGTTTTAGTACACTTTTGGAACATTATTTAATATCCATATTATTAGCCTTTCTAATCAACTCGCCTAAAGATGTTGGTATTGTAAAGCACAACAGATTGTTGTTTGGCCTTTTTTTTTACTATTCCTTTTTATTTTATCTATGCAAGTTAAAAGTCGTGCTGCATAATTCATAGCAAAATTTACTGCAGTCGAAATATCATTGGGAGCAACATTAATATCTCAAAAATCTGTTTGCAAGCCAATATTTATTGGCTATTCATTTCAGGTTGAAAATATAGATAAACATAATAAATATTACGATACGATGTTTTCATCCCAAGCTAAAGTACCCCTCCGCTGTTGTGTTTTATTGTTGTTTACTTTCTAAACTACATGATTAAATCATTTTTTTCCCCGTTATTTATCAAATTAGTTAAACTGCAATATATATACAATGTTTGCATAAGATGTGCATTTTAACATTGGGAAATAATATTAAAATCTTAACTAAAAAATTGTGTTGATTGCCGTATCTCCTAACATTAATTGTGACATGCGACGCATACGTTTGAAGCTTCTATCTACTTGTGTCTGGCAGATTGTGGAGAACTGCATTTGCACTCTGAGGAACCTGTCCTATCGTCTGGAGCTGGAGATGGTGCCTTCCAGAATGACAGGCGGCCAGGAACTGGACGGCTTACTGGGCAGAGAGTCGCCCAGTAAAGAGCTGGAGTCCAGCTGCTGGGGCAGGAAGAGAAAAAAGAAGAAAAACAGCCTGCACGAAGACTCAGTGGGTGTTCTACCATAACTAAAGTCATTTGCATTTGGATTATTTTGCTTGTTTATGCTTCATAAGATCTAGATCATCAGTCTTCCTTTCCTTTAACAATTGACGTTCATTTTGTTTTGCTCTATTTAAGAACTATATATAAGGGGAAAATTTGCTGTTTAGGTCTTAGATTTTGCACCAAAGTTAACTTCCCAACCATTGTCTGATGTTTTTTTCATTAACAGGAAACATAAATCAGCTGTTTTTTATGTGTTTTTAGTTTTTGACTTGCTGATCAGTAATCAGAGCAGATCAAGGAAACATTTTTTTCACAGCGTATCTAATAACGTAAAATCATGATACATTTCTAAAGCATCCTGCATTCTCAGTCTAACTAGTAACTTACTGTGTCTTCAGTGGGACGGTGTGGGGCCTATCCCAGGCTTCTCCAAGTCGCCAAAAGGGGCAGAAATGCTTTGGCATCCTTCGGTTGTAAAACCTTATCTGATGCTGCTGGCTGAGAGCTCCAACCCGGCCACCCTAGAAGGCTCAGCAGGTTCCCTTCAGAACCTGTCAGCTGGCAACTGGAAGGTAACGTCTAAATGTGTATTCATCAAAGCAAAAATGCAAACATTTTCTGACACTGTTCTACTGTAGCTGTATAATGTTTGAAATGATCCATCTACTCAGCAAATATAAATGGATTTTAAGCAGCTCACCTCTTCTTCGTCAGTCAAACTAATCTCCGTTTAACGCTTGAAATCACAAACGTTAACATGCAAATCTCAAACCCATCAGTATTCCTATGTGGCAGGGAGACCTTAATGAAATTTTCATCTTTTCTGCATTCAGTTTGCAGCTTATATCCGTGCAGCGGTTCGCAAAGAGAAAGGGCTTCCGATCCTGGTGGAACTACTGCGGATGGACAACGACAGGGTGGTGTGTTCTGTCGCCACAGCTCTGAGAAACATGGCCCTCGACATCAGGAACAAGGAGCTTATAGGTCAGGAGTTACATTGTAGTGTATAAAATACAGCTTGAGCTGATAAAATGAAACACAGATTCTGTATGAGCCTTTATGAGTTTTGCTGCTTTATAATGTAGCTGTTGTTTAATGTAGCTTGGTCAGAGGCCATGCTGTGAATGTGTTTGGCTTCGATTAATACACAAACAGCTTAAAAAATTCACATATGTTGTTCTTCTAAATATCATCTGAAGTTTACCTATATTCACTGTAGACATAGTCCAAAAACACTCTTCTGGCTTGCCAAGGCCCATTTACTTCTTGTAAAGTGATGATGATTGACTACAGATGGAGGGAAGAAAATAGCCCCTGCAAAATATAACTGGATAATCAAAGGGATATACAGACTTACACAATGCAAGAACATTGTTAGAGCCAGATTTCAAACAATAATGAACCCAAAATCGTCATTAACCGTTGTTTTAAAATAATTAGGAGAGAAATGTATTATTCCAGAGTCTCCAAAAGGAATTCATCTGGCACTCTCAGCCTGAGAATAGATCATAAACTGAAGCTTTGCACCAGCCCATGTGGAAAAAATGCTTAACTTTCTGGAAAGTAGATTTAAAGTCAAGTAATGGAAAAGGTTGAGTTGATTGGCTGCCAGAACATATGGTCTAAAAGCTGAAGGATAGTGAGGCGCTGAAGCCATCTGACACCAAACCTTTAATGTTTTAATGGTCCAGGAACTGATCACAGATCAGAATTCAGTGGCAGATTTCCAAAGGTTGGAGCTCAAGAAGATCAACTTTACTAGAGTTCATACTTCCTTCATGTTATTCACTGGAAGTTTTCTTTCTATTTCTACCTTTTTGAAGCTAAATCAGTTTTAATGTTTTAGAAAATATAGTTACCTATTAAATAGTCCCTGATATCTCTGCGTGTTCCTGTCAGCATCCTCTCTGAACACTGTAATTTATCTTTATATTTAGCGCCAGGTATGATGCAGTACATAAAGAAAAGCTTATGTTTGTATTTGCCTTTTTAAGGCACCTCCATATACACTATATTGCCAAAAGTATTTGCTCACCTGCCTTGACTCACATATGAGCTTAAGTGACATCCCGTTCCTAATCCATAGGGTTCAATATGACGTCGGTCCACCCTTTGCAGCTAGAACAGCTTCAACTCTTCTGGGAAGGCTGTCCACAAGGTTTAGGAGTGTGTTTATGGGAATTTTTGACCATTCTTCCAGAAGCGCATTTGTGAGGTCGCACACTGATGTTGGACGAGAAGGCCTGGCTCTCAGTCTCCGCTCTAATTCATCCCAAAGGTGTTCTATCGGGTTGAGGTCAGGACTCTGTGCAGGCCAGTCAAGTTCATCCACACCAGACTCTGTCATCCATGTCTTTATGGACCTTGCTTTGTGCACTGGTGCACAGTCATGTTGGAAGAGGAAGGGGCCAGCTCCAAACTGTTCCCACAAAGTTGGGAGCATGGAATTGTCCAAAATGTCTTGGTATGCTGAAGCATTCAGAGTTCCTTTCACTGGAACTAAGGGGCCAAGCCCAGCTCCTGAAAAACAACCCCACACCATAATCCCCCCTCCACCAAACTTTACACTTGGCACAATGCAGTCAGACAAGTACCGTTCTCCTGGCAACCGCCAAACCCAGACCCGTCCATCAGATTGCCAGATGGAGAAGCGCGATTCGTCACTCCAGAGAACGCGTCTCCACTGCTCTAGAGTCCAGTGGCGGCGTGCTTTACACCACCGCATCCGACGCTTTGCATTGCACTTGGTGATGTATGGCTTGGATGCAGCTGCTCGACCATGGAAACCCATTCCATGAAGCTCTCTGCGCACTGTTCTTGAGCTAATCTGAAGGCCACATGAAGTTTGGAGGTCTGTAGTGATTGACTCTGCAGAAAGTTGGCGACCTCTTCGCACTATGCGCTTCAGCATCCGCTGACCCCGCTCCGTCAGTTTACGTGGCCTACCACTTCGTGGCTGAGTTGCTGTCGTTCCCAAACACTTCCATTTTCTTATAATACAGCTGACAGTTGACTGTGGAATATTTAGGAGCGAGGAAATTTCACGACTGGATTTGTTGCACAGGTGGCATCCTATCACAGTTCCACGCTGGAATTCACTGAGCTCCTGAGAGCGACCCATTCTTTCACAAATGTTTGTAAAAACAGTCTGCATGCCTAGGTGCTTGAATTTATACACCTGTGGCCATGGAAGTGATTGGAACACTTGATTCCAATAATTTGGATGGGTGAGCAAATACTTTTGGCAATATAGTGTATCTGGTTAATGCAAACCTTTTAGCAGGACATTCAAGCAAACATTAGCACTGCTGGGTGGCCGTTTCTGGGGGGCTGTCTGAGGAAGGTGCCTATAATTATACAATCCCAGAATATAAAAAAGAAAAACAAAGCAGTTATTGACTGCCTAATATGGAGATACTGTTCATGCCATGGTGAGTACATGTTCTGCTAAAGCTGAAATAAATTGTTTTCCTTCATCAAAGGCTGTCAATATGTGAGATGAATATTTATTCAGTAGCAGCAATGTCTGAGGGTGGGGGTTAATGAGATTTTATTGATGGTTAAAAATGCTTTTTGAGGTGTTTGTTTCACTTGGTGCAGTAAATGTTTAGCGTTTTTAGCTGCGCTGCAGCACTGAAGGACAGATAAGGGAGGCAATCCTCCCTCACAATGAAACAGCCTTACTGTGTCATTTAGTAAAACTGCCTGCCATGCTGCAGACCCCAGCAGATTTGGATGTATTATTCTGTATAGAGGTGCCTTTACGTGCAGTTAAGGTCAGCATAAAATACATTTATATGTGCATTACATAACATGTTAAAAAGATGGAACACATGTGATGCATCACCCCTTTTTTCTGTCCTCCTGCAGCAAACCTGCAGCATAATACGCCATGACGCATAAGCTCCAAGTCTCCCCTCTCTCTCCCCTGCAGGGAAGTACGCAATGAGGGACCTGGTAAACCGCCTCCCTGGGGGGAACACCACCCTGCTGTCAGATGAGACCATGGCTGCCATCTGTTGCACGCTGCACGAGGTCACCAGCAAAAACATGGAAAACGCGAAGGCCTTGGCCGACACAGGTGGCATCAAGAAGCTGGTGGACATCACCAAGGGCAGAGGAGACAGGTGGGTTACCAGTGCACGCTCGCTTTAACAATCGTGAACACTAAGCAGTGGTTCTTGCACAAAAGAACACTGTGTAACAGCTTTGCTGAAACCGGCGGAGAGGTGGCAGTGTCTGCATCCCCTTGGAACAATGCTGCAGTAGCTATTTTTGTCTTGCTGTGTATCCTAGAATATTTCAGGTTAAAGCACATTTAGGACAGCCTGCTCCATCAATCATTTTATCTTATGATACTCATGATGCATTATATATTTTGTTGGAAAGATTCAGGGGTTTTCAGAAATGCAGAATAAAGTTTGTAACTGTTTTCCAGGTACTCAGTGAAGGTGGTGAAAGCAGCAGCTCAGGTGCTGAACACACTATGGCAGTACAGGGATCTACGGCCCATCTATAAAAAGGTTTGCACAGTCTGCTTTATGAGAAAACCTGTCATCATTTTATCAACGTTTTAAATATAAGCTGTTGTAGAAGTAATGTTTCATGTTTTATTTATTAAACAGGACTTAGCAGAAGCTTTTATTAACTTAAATTTTTTTCACCTTAAAGCCAACATCTGTTGTATATTTTATTTGGATTGTGGTTTACCTAAATAACGTCACATAAGCTGTGCTTCCGTTAACCATCAAATTGCACAAATTCCAATTAAAACAAAAAATTTTGCTAAAAACATACACTTATTTTTCTTTTTCATAAAAAGTTTTTAATACTTAGATGAAGGGATTTTTGGTCTTATCAAAATCCGTATTTATCGAAAACCTCCAATGGAAAAAAAAAATTTCCATCACACAAGTTTTTTTGCACGGTCATTTTACTGCCTTGTGAAAGGACAAAGAAAAGAAGACCAGAAATGTTTTTAGGATAATGGCGCCCACTAGAGCCGTGGATGAAGTATGGATATATCTCATGGGTTTTAATCTGCCGCTGTCATGTTTTTTTAGAGTTATCACATCAACAAATGTATTCACATGTAATTTTAATTGTATTTGTTATTAAATGGAAGCACTACAATTGCAAAACTTAACATTTTCAAAATGAGCAGAATAACTTAGTTTTACGCATATTTGTAATGAAACCGCAGCTGTTTATATACTCACATGACAGCTAGGGATGGGCAATTAATTGCATTTGTAATATAATTGCAATTTAGCGAAAATGCTATTTTCATATCACAGAAGCACTCAATTTTAGTCAAATTACATTTAACAAAAGTAAGTAAATTTCTCCCTCCAAGCTTTTAGGTGGCAGTAATCTGCTTAAAATTGCTTTGAAACAACACAGAAGGGACAAGACAGTTGCAGGAAGTAGGAACTTTTTCACACAAATTGTACAAGAAAGTCCTGCAAAAAAATGGAAAATGAAATCCTCAAGTGACACATCTACAGATTGGTGCTTAGTGTAAAGGGGAATCGAAAAAAAGTCACAATATTGCTTGAAAATCGAAATCTTGATCTTTGGCAAACTCGTTCAGATTTACTTCTAATGACAGCTTTAGTTCAGAACTGCACAAATCTGACCTTAGTTGCTCTTCACTATGATTTCTAGTGATGAAAAACTTCTCTCATCACCCTGAGTAAATCATCCCCACTATGAAACATGGAGTTGGCAGCATCATGCTGTGGGGATGGTTTTCTTCAGCAGTTACAGGAAAGCTGTTCTTTGTTATTTGCTGATGGTTTGAGAAAAGAAAACCTGTTAGAGGCTCCAGAAGACAATAATGAAGGTTGACCTTATTTAGCTACAGCTATAAACCATCTGTTTAGATCAGAGCATATTGATTTGTTAAATGGCCTAATCATAGTGGATTCTAAAGGTGAATGGGTGATCATGATTAATAATTAAATGTCTCAGTCATTTTTCATCCTCAGAATGGGAAGTTTTTCCAAAAGAGTCTGGGAGAAAAGTTTGAGTCAGATATTGAGGAAAGCTAGTAGAAACATAAACCACAAGATTTGCAGCTAGTGTGAAACGTGTTTTTAGTATAAAGGGACTTTTTTACAAATGCATAACAGAAATGTTGAAAGAATTTTCAATTCACTGCACAACTGCGCTCCACTTTGTGTCGATCTTTGACATCTAATCCAGCAAAATGGGACAAAGCTCAAAGATGTAGGACTGACTCTTTATCGCTCACAGGATGGCTGGAACCAAACCCATTTCATCACCCCCGTGTCAACACTGGAACGGGACAGGTTCAGGTCCCAACCCACGCTCCCCACCAGCACCATCCAGATGTCCCCGCTCAGCCACCCCGGTGCGTTCTGCTAGCAGACAGACTGCAGCAGTGAAAGAATGAGCCATGGAAATTAAACAGGCTTTTCTATATTTTTCTCCACAGCCGCCAGTGCCACATCATCTCCTGCAATGCTGGGCATCAAGGAGCACAGAGGCTCAATCAGAGATTATCAGAGAGCTCAGTCAACTATGCAGTTTTATAATTACCAAGGAGACGGCAGTATTCATAGAAAACAGTATACAGGTATGGAAATGAAAGATGTTGAATTTCAAAAAGAAATGTTGAATTATCTGCTGTAGAATTGAAGCAGCTTTTTGTGCCATTTTGGTTCCATTTCATTTTCTTCTATGATCTCCAAAATTTTCCCAGTAGACCCCAATCCTCTTTTGTCTGGTTTTTGACAATCGATGTGTTAAAGATAAGACCTGTTTCTCCCCACTGGATTGAAGTCTGTCTGCTGTCTAGGAGTGATCGCTTCAAAATGGAGCTATTAATACATTAGGTCATAGTCACAGACAGGCTTTGAGTGGGCAGCCCAGACACACTCCATCCAAGCCAGAGCCCTCGCCAACCTTTGCTGGTTGGTGGGAGCAGGAGGCGGGCAGAGCAAACAAACCAAGCCTCCACAATTGATGTTCTGAGTTTCTGGATTCCAACAGTTTGATAAAGGGCCAAAGAAAATACCCATCCCCATGGGTTATGTAAACTACAGTGCAGCACAGGCCAGCCCCATTATCTGGTGTTATTTCTCTCCAGCGCAGCCCCACACATCTTGATCCTACTTTATCTAAATACCAACATCTGCCCTGAAGGGATGTACAGACTCTCTGTCTGATATTAAATAAGGTGTATTCATCTAAAATTCGCTATTTCTTTCATAGCAGTAGTAACTTTATTGTTGTTTTTCCAGGGTCTGCTAAATCTTCTCCTTATTACTACTCATCACCCACAAGGGAGGAGCCCAGAAGAACACAGGTGAATATAACATTTGTTCAGAGAAATCTTGGCCCAAATCACAGTCTCTTTTTCTTACAAACTATCGAAAAAATTTAGAGAATAAATCATAATCGGAACTCAGCTTTTTGCCATTGTGCAAAAAAGCAGAACAAAATTTTGACTGATAGATATACAGACAGACAGATGCCTACACTTTACTTTTTTTTACTTCTCGGAGACATGGAGTAAGGACTGTTCAGTTGAATTTTGACTCCAGTCTTTCACTTTTAACTAAGGAAAGAAAGGGAAGATAAAACCAAGCTTGGTCTGTCAGCTTCTAACTCCCATGTTGAAGCTGGAAAAGTTTCCGTACTTTGGTCTGAGGAGAGCTGCAGGTTCAGCTTTCCTTTGGATCTAGCTTGCGTCTGTCTCAGTTTTTGGGATAACAGCTGGCTCTATGTAACCTTGCACTGCAAGCTGGATTGTCATGAGAGTTTTCAGTCTCACAACAAATTCATTTTGAAAGACTTTCGCTAATACGTCCATCTCGTAACAACCAGCAGGTCGGACCAATGACATGCCAGTAGTGTTTATTGGGGCAGGACATGTAGGAATGACGACAGTCAGAAGGGCCTTGCTGGGGCATTACAAACATGGCTACTCTGGAGGATTCAACTGTCAATACCATATTGACTCAGTTTTAGCTAAAAATAGCAACATTTTTATGTTTGAAAAAGGGAAATATAAACACTTTGTCCATTTGTAGATTGGAAAGATGTCTGTGCATTTCTTCCGACAGGATTTGAAAAAAAAGTTAGATTTATCAACTTAGGAAACTTCACGATTCGCTCTACGATTGGCTGAAAGCATAATATGGAAGGCGAGTACTAACTGGCATGTCACCCAATCACCTCAAAGTATTGTTGTAAAAACGTCCCTTCTTTTCACGGACAGACTGAATGGCAGCCATCCCAGATTGATAACGTAGAGCTCAGTCTTACACATATCAATTTATTTATTATTTATATTAATCTTTAAAGTTTTCTCATTACATTTATATAGGTCATTAATACAGGTTTCCTTATATTCTCTGTTTTGCCTAAAATACCTCCTTTAAACATAATAGGCTTCTCAAAGTTACAAAAAAAGTAGCACTGGGCAGTATAGCCTTAATATGAACTCAGGCTCTCATTGTTTTCTGCTGTTCATGGTCAGAGGACTCAGTGATGCCTATGTATGGTAGCCTCGACTCTGTCGGCCTGCCCCAAGGCAGCTATGGCTACAACATGTTAATGTTTCCATGAATGGTTGAATGGCCAAATGTTGTGGAAAGTGCTTTGGGGTCCCCAGACCTGTTAAAGACAAATAACCTGCAGTTATTTTGAAAACAGTGCCATTGCCCGTCAAACATTTGCAAAAAACAAGTAATGAAAGACAAGAAACAAAAGATGTGCCTTATGTTCAGGAAGTAGTGGAGTTATGCATAGAGCCCATTATGGAAAAACACAAACCTATCTGATCAGTAATCAGAACACATGGATTCTTTGCAGGGACAGTAGCACTGAAGTATCAGCAAAACTTAATAAAAGCAGGGGACAAAAAATGATAACAGAACGGCCGAGCTTCAGTTCATCAGACTGAATGATCAGTATCCACAGCATAAGGATTCACATATAAACTGTTTCAAATAAACCTGAACATAAGATCGAAAACTGCAGCACAAAGATCAGAATAAAAGTGTTTAAAAAAGGGGGGGGAAAACGTTCCTAACTCAAAAACAGTTAAATCACAGCACCTGACACGGCGATACATCACAGACACCAGCTGAGCAGCGACGCGCTAGAATAGGTTTATCATCCTTTTGTCAGATTAGGTTCCAAATCCAAGCAGTTTGGATGCTGATGAGCTGGAATCTCACCTCCTGGATGACTTTGCCCTTAATGTCACCATGACTCCTTCACACTCTCCCCATTACTTCATCTAAAAAAGTTTTCCTCTTAAAATGATTTATCCAGCTATTAAATTAACAATCAACATTAAAAATCCTTTTCTTACTGGACTGCTTAGATATTAAGTGGTATCGCCAAACTTCCTGATCTCAGGTGGTAAATAATTAGCCTGTAAGAGATTTTGCGGATAGATGAGGAGGATCGTGAGAGAAATTAGGCTTCCGGCTAATCTAATACAGAAGAGCTACAATTTCCTATGAAAATGAAAACTTGAAAAGTCCAGATTTGATCATTTAAGACATTGCATGTTGAACAAAACACCATACATCGACTATACTTGTTATATTGCACCGTCCTTTACTCTAGGCAAAATAACTTGCTCAGAATTTTCCACCTCAAACATGGTTTTAGTAAAGCAGGTTAACATGCAAAGCTTAACACATTGACAATATGTATGGGGATGTAAAGGTCAAATTAGATGGAATATTTTCAAGGAAATCAACAGGTTCTCTCAACCCTCTTAGTTGTAAAAGACCACCAATGCAACTGTTTTTTTATTTGAGGAAAAGGTTGAGGAATATTTTAGAAATTCCTTAATTTTCTTTGAGTAGATCTTTGTTTCTGAAGGACGATTTGAAATGACCTGAAGAAAAGTAGTTCAAGTTAGTTAGGAGCCTCCCGGCTGTTTTACCCCTCTTCACCAGTACAAAGAACCTGGCACATATTCCTCTGGTACTGCTGGGAATAACCCAGCACATCAACTATTGTTTGAGCAAGAGTGGATGTGACTGCTGAGTTTGGGATGTCCTCTCTGTGTCTCGCCCGGCTGTCTCGGTAGGACACATCCATGTGTGTCTCTTCACATAACAGACATGCAGAGGAAGGAACAGAAAGAGACTCTGATAATATTATTTCAACTTTTGCATAAGTTGAGATGATGATCATTATTTTTATTGCTAATCAACATTCATTGTTTACATTGAAATGGTTTTCTATTGCATCAGAGATCTGAGACATAAGGACTAGAGCATCTTTTATTAGCTGGCTCTCTGATGCAGCTGGACACACATGAGATTGAAACCATTAAGTGGAGGATGAATTTGAGAAGTCTATTAATGAATATGGTGAAACACCCTAAAATAGTTTGAAAATAGTATCACATTTAAACTATTGTATCAACCATTAATCTAGGATATTATGTATAATCGTCATCTCAGGAATTTAAATGTTGTTTGTGGAAAAATCTATGAAATATCCAAACTAAAGTTACTTAATATAAATAAGAATACAGTTTGATTTGATCTGCAAATCAAACTGTATCCTTTTTTATATTAGGTAACTTTAGTTTGAGTATTTCATATATTTTTAAGAATATTAAAGTATATAAAGTATATTCCTTTCTACAAGCTAAAGAAAACCTTTTAGCCGCCAGTGAAATCAAGTTGCTTGTTTATTTGCTTGTTTATTTTGGGGAATATTAGGAAATGAAATTAGGATTTTCAGAGATTTTGATGTCTGGCTTCACCAGCACCAGACTAACACGACATCCAGGAGCAAATCATGGCAGCTTTTTGAGGAGGTGAATCAGAAACTGTGTAACATATCAGGTTGTTTTCTTTTTTTACTTTTATGAGCATCCACATAATCTGCAGGGTGACATCATGGCAGCTAGATAAACAAAGAGATATGAGTCTCTCCCTCATCCTAATTTTATTATCTGCATCTGCACTCAGAACCTCTGGATTCCAAGCGCAATGGCCCTACCACTAGGCCGCCATTCCCCTCTCAACACCTCTGTCTCATTGCTAAAGGCATGATACTGGAATTACTGTATTTCCCAAACACTAAAAGAAATTTTGACAATTTAGGACTCAATGATCTCAGTAGGAACTCTATAGCAGAGACATTAATAAACCCCTGGTCCACTGAGTGGACATGCATTTATACAGCAAAGTTAGTGAAGTTTAGAGCCTAGAAGAACACCATAAGAGATCCCTGGCCTTTGACGAATTAAAAGATCTCCCAGGAAGATGCATAGTTTTTTTTTTTTTTTGTAATAGGTCCAATATACCCAAAGCTGTGAAATCTGCCCTGTCTGCTAAACTCTGAATTTCCTTGGAGATGTTCTTGGAGTTTCATAAATGGCAGTGGGGTTCTGATCTTAATAAGTACCAAAACTAGGAATTTCCTTTAGGTTACGTTCACACTGCAGGCCTTGATGCTCAGTTAAGTTTTTTTTGTGAAATCAGATTTTTTTATTTATTTATTTATTTATTTTTTGCGTTGCCGTTCACATTTCCAAATATATGCGACTTGTATCTGATCTCTTGTGTGAAATGCATTCATACAACACAAGTGTCCCGCATGTGCAGTAGAGGACTCAATGATAAATGGTTAAAAAAAAAGACTTTCCGCATTATCGTCCACCATGGTTGCTTTTATTCTTCCCGCTTCTAGCGTGGCATGTCGCAGAATAGTGACCTGTGTTGAGTATTAATGACGTTCAGGTCGGATGAATGCGACCTGGCCTGGAAAAGATCTGATTCCTATCGGATTCAGGACCACATAGCCAATTGGCCTGGGTCGCATTGGAAAAAAATCGGATCTGTGTTGTTCAGACTGCCATGAAAAGATCAAATACAGGTCGCATATGGTAAAAAAAAAATCAGATTTGGGTCACTTCATGCTGCAGTGTGACTGTAGCCTTAGAAACACCTTAGGTTACAAACAGTAACAGATGGACTGAATGAATAATTGAAGGCCTGTTTTTCTTGCAGCCTTTGTATTACTCAGAAGAGGCGAGCCGAAGGAACTACGACACATACAGGATGTACGTGCAGCATCCTCACGGCTACGACGAACCATACTTAGAGGAAGTCATCACCTATCCTCCTACAGCAGACTACAGCTCCCAGCCTCACGGACTGAAATCCACTTCTAATTATGTAGACTATTACGCTAGCACACGGAGGCCTTCCTACAGGGCAGAGCAGTACCCGGGTTCTCCTGATTCCTGGGTCTAAGTCCAGACGTGTGTCTGCATTACAAACAGAGAACTTTTGTCCTGCCGGATTCTTCTTTCGCCCTGCAGCAGAGCCGAAGAGCAACACAGGAAACTTCTTTCATGAACTTGGCTTTATGAGTGTTTGTTCTAAAGTGGATGTGCTTGTATGAGAGGGGGGGGTCAGCAGAGCAGCAGCAGAAGGAAAGATGGGATGTGTGCCAAAGAGGGAAATTATGGAATGTTTTTAAAGGTTATTTTTCATTTAACAGAATAAGAAGGAATCATTCCAGGGAGATATCGGACATTACCATGAGAAGACTTGTGTCGTATGTAGATATTAGCTTTATTTTCTCTAAGGAACTCATAACTGTGAGAGCATGGTTAAAGGTGTTTGTCACGTAAGCGAGGGTAAGCGGTAAGAGTCGAGATGTGAGGGAAAAAATGTATGTGAAGAAGCCAAAACGGATCATGAACTTGTTTCTAAAGAAATGAAATTTAAAAAAAACACTAATTAACTAATGATGTTAGATTGTACAGAGGGATCAGTTTTTATCTGTACGTCATGTTGAAACTGTGTAATGCCATGGAGTCTTGTACATTTCTTTGATTTTATTGTAAATACAGAAAGAAAGTCAGCATTACTTGGTTTACACATCAGCACTGGTTAAAAAATACTGAAAAACTTGTGCCATGTTCTAAAGATATATACATATACAGATCTGTGGAAAAAAAGATGGCATCGTAACAACTGTTAACAAAATAAAAAGGTCATTTTTGTTTTTTAAACCGGTTGTGTGATTTTTCCTCTTTTTAAAGATCACAAGAAAGTATTTAGAGAGACCAGAGGGTCACGTTCTCCTCCAGTCTGGGAGCACAATGGTTTCATTGGATGTTTATGCTGACGGGGGGGGTGGATGAAGAGGGCTTTGAACCATCTGTGAAGCTGCTGAAATGTTTTTAAGGCAATGCAAATATGAACCTAAACCTGTTGAAAGGTTCTTGGAAAAAAAACATTTTAAAATCTGTGCTTTTAAACTAAAGAGTTAAACACTGTGGATGCACGATGCACATCAATATTGCAGAACAGTTATGGACACCCAAAAGTTCTCTCTAACATTAATGTAGTTTAAGTGGATTGACGCTCCTATAAGTTGTTATTTTGGAGCATAACTGCTGTGACTCAGAGGAACAATTCTCTGAGGCAAAAAAAACATAATTGTTTCTCTATTCTGGGGTATTTGGACTGGGCCCAAGACTGCATCAAAATAATCTAATGGTAGCTCCTCCTTCATCTTAAATGGGGTCAACAATGAGACCATCATGGGTAGGAAAGCAGCTCTGGTCTGCTGTGCCAATCCCAGATGGACTTTAACCTTCCTGATGTGGTTCGACCACAGAAATGCTCAAGGATGATGCCATGTAATTTGGAACTCGAGCCTTCTGAAAAATAAAACAATGCCAATTTAATCAGAGAGCGTTTATATAAAACCAGAGGGAGGTACTAGTCTACAAATTCATAAAGCCCAGCTCAAAGAAGACTTGGCTAATTTAAACTTTTTTCTTTCAGCAAACATTCCAGCTTTATTTGGTCTTAAAAGCATGAACATTTAGAAAACAGGATTCTTGATGCGTCACACTTGTTTCTCTTCCAAAATAATTGAAAAAATTAGTCAAATGGATTGCAATCATGACCTCTGAGATACTAAATCAAAACACAGTGTCCTAGAAGCAAGCAGAAAATGGGTCATCTAGACAGAAAACCTTCACCACACACAAACCTAAACTTTGTCCATAAACCTTTAGATCTGGAAAATAAATCATGTGGGGCGAGCTGAAGAAAAAGATGGATCCCAGCTACGTTAACGTTTTGGACTCAAAAACCCAGAGAGTTAAAACTTATGTAAAAAGCTGCTTGCTACTAAAAGCAGGATAACAAGAACCTTCTAGGAATTTATACTTGACTAGATATCCATCTTCATTAAATATTCATAAAACTGCAAAAAACTATGACTTTATTCTTTTTCTTACAACCCTTATAACCCAAATGTAGTTTTTTAGTACTTTGTTTTAGTTTTCGTGGCCTGTTTTCTCATCAGAACAAGCTGATGTAATCTTCTGACTTAAGCCCACATTGTGAAACGACTTAACCCGGAAAACACTTTTTATACCTGGTGACAATTAGCCACAAACCAACTTTTAATTTAATTTAAAAAATCTTATAGTCTGTGAAAAGTTTTCAACCAAAAGACGCTTTTTTTCTTCTCCAGTATCGACTGCTTAGTGAGTTTGCCTATTGTGTGTTCATTCTCATAAAGGAAGTGCACCCTTATAGTGAGTTGCCTAAATGATAAGAAGAAAGAAATATGAGCTTGAAAGTATTTTTTAGTGTGTAGAGCATATATGCTTCTCTCTGTATGCTACTAAAAATCAATTATTCTACAAGCTTCTGTCAAACTAGCTGCATCCAGGAACCAAATCTTCCTATATATTATTTTCACTAAAATATCAAACTATAGCTTGGACTCTATTAACAAAATTGGTCATTTCTAAAAAGAAACATGTTGCTCTAGGTTTTTATAACAACATACTTTTAAGACACTCATTTTTTATTTATTTTTTTAAAGAGAAATTTTAATCTATTAGTTTCTACTTGTAGCTTTAATAAATTACACTAAGGTGTGATTCCAACAAAACAAACCTTTCCCTTAGGGTATTATTGTTTTTGCAAGTCACTGCAGCCTGTTACCAAAAATAATGATGTTCACAAATTTTTAAAAATATGATCAATACATGGCATTTTAAAGGTTGTTTGTCACATTTGTCCAGTAAAGACAGGACTGGTCTAGACATTTGTAGTCTTTGAACTGAACATTTTAACACGGGTCAAACACAATAAAATCGTGAAGAAATTACCCTTATTTTTTCTTTTCCTTTTATCATGTCAAAATATACACTTTGAGAATGAATCCTTAAAATATGTTCTTGTTAATGGGCTCATTTTCCAGACACATTTTTTACACTGGAAAAACAATCTAGAAATAAGTAAAAAAATATCTTAAATTAAGTATATTTGCCCTTAATTTGAGCAGGTAAATGAGATAATTTGCAAATGGAATTAGTATTTTTTACTCTTAAAATAAGATATTTAGATCAAATGCAGCTGAAATAAGACAATGCAATTGTTTTTTTTTTCATATATTAAATGTAAACTCTCTTGTTCCATTGGCAATATGTTTGTTTTACCTCCTCAATTCAAGAACAAATGCACTTATTTTAAGAAAAAAAAAAGGTTTATAGATTTCCATTTTTTCCAGCATATCAGTTATGTTAGTTTGTTCTTTTTCCTCCTCTTGTGTGTTTATTTATGTTGGTTGGCAAACAACTTAAAACAGCATTACCACCAACAAATGTTAAGGGTTGTGAATCAGGATTCTAATACCCTATTCAAAATAAAATAAAGAATTAAGAAAAAAATCCTAATAAACTTAATGAAAACACAAATAAACTAAACCCTATCTAACAATCCAGTATTCCAAGGAAACAGCAGTATTAAAGGCTAGCATTTCTTGTTCCCTAAAACTTCTGCTAATGTATATCATTTTTTTATTTAATCTTTTCAAGGTTTCGTATTAAAATGTATCTTTCTTTGACATATTTTCTACAGTGTAACATTATATGCTCTGTAGTTTCTTTCTGATGAAACGTGTCACAATTCCCTGAGTGATGTTCCCCTATTCTAAAGAGTGAGCTGTTCAATCCAGTCTTGATTTTGTGGGAGCATTTATATAATCTTATAATTATACAATGGAAAGCAAGGAGTCTTATTGTCGAGTTTAAAGAAAATTTAAATATTCACTTTCTACAATTCCTGCAAGAAGATTTCTACAGTTACCATTACGGTGATTGATTTGGATTTAGACGGAAATATTATTTGTTGTAGAGATGTTAATGCACATAATATGCTTGGAATGGAAGGTTTATTGAAGAATACGAATGTAGTAAGTCTTAATGATGGAAATGGAACAAGAATCAATAGGCTACTAGGAATAATTCAGTCATCTATTGATCGTACTTTGGCTTCTCCCACATTAGTAGCTAAATGCCTATGAGAGGTTATCTTAGATACAACAATAGGAAGTGATCTCTGTCCGATATTCAAAAAAAATGGATTTCACCTTGAGAAAGTTACAGAAAAGCGCACATCATTGTTTGTTTAATAAGACAAACTGGGGTTTGTTTGCACGTATATGTGATCAAGAAATGAGGCAATTTAAATCAGGATGTTGATCATTTAAATGGTAATATTTGTGATGTTGAGGGGCTGCTCAGTAACGCAGTGGGTAGTCCTGTAGCCGTGCAACAAGAAGGTTCTGGGTTTGATTCCGGGCCCGGGGAGTTTGCATGTTCTCCCTGAGCATGCATAGTTTCTCCCTGGGTACTCTGGCTTTCTCCCACAGTCCAAAAACATGAGTGTTAGGTTAATTGGCTTCTCTAGATTCTCCTTAGGTGTGAGTGTGTGTGTGAATGGTTGTTTGGCCTGTTTGTCTCTGTGTTGCCCTGCGATGGTCTGGCGACCTGTCCAGGGCGACCCTGCTTGGGATAAGCATGACAGAAAATGGATGGATGGATATTTGTGATGCAATAATGAAGGCAGTGAAGCAGGCTTTCCCATAATCTCATGGCGAAAATAGGAGAAAGATTGTGCCTTGGTGGACTTAAGAATGTGATAAAAATTATTAAGTCTCAAAACAAAGTGTTTTAATTGCTCAAAAGAAATGATAACTTTCAGAATCTAAACAAATATGAAACGCTTTAACATTAGGAGGACATGTAGAGAGAAAAAGGAGGAGTTTTGGTTTCATTTTGTAATTCGATTGGAATGGAAACTGATATCAGAACAGCCTGGGGAATGATCAAAACGATTTTCTATAGCTTTATGAGGGTAAAGCATTTAATTTAAAAAAATAAAAATAAAAAGGGGGAAAGAAAAATACATTTTAATAGCAATGAGTGCTTAGAATGTCTTCTGGTTTCATGTTCTCTTGAAATCGTGTCATCTGTTTGTGTAACAAAACAAAAAAAAAAGAAAAAAAAAAGAAAAAAAAGAGAGAGAAAGATGGGCGTGCCTGTGGCTTCCTGCAGCTTTAGAGCACAAAAACAAGCGTGTGGGCGTCCGCTGTAGTTTACTGCGGAAACTTTTACCAAGATGGTGCAACAAATCTGCAAAACTGGAGCGAAGGAAGCTCCTCTGCTCAAAGCTGGACATCCACCAGCAGGTAAACGCATGTTCCTATCAACTTTTCATGTTTTTGTAGGTTTACTCAAATGCGTTTTTTTTTGTTGTTGTTGTTGTTGAGCTGTTCGACCTTTATAAAGTCATGCAGAAAAACAAACGCTTCCCTGGTTGTGCTTCATTTTTTCCATCATATATTTCTACGTTTTCATGTTTGCATTATTAATCCTCTGAAATGTGTTTACTGCAAAGCATCTGGCTGCTTTTGCAGAGGTTTTTCCTTTTAAAGGCAGGCCTGATTGCGGCGTGAATGTGACCAACTCTGA